CGGGCAATGTCAACCGAGTAAGTTAAGAAAGAATATTGAAAAATAATAAATCTCCGAAAATAAAGTAAGGGAAATAAAATAAAATATACAAGAAACTTAGTAACATTTTCAATCATTTTGGCTGTAGACCAAGCTCTTTCGATGAATATTAAAGTAAGAAACTGATCACATCATCTATATTCTTCAAAGCATGCCCACTTTTTAATATTTTAGGGAGCACAAAATGTTGATTTATTTATGTAAAATATTTAATAAAAATTTTAAATTTTCTTCTACCCTCGAAAGTTTTCTCTTATTATATACTCTATCAATTTTATGTAAAGAACTAGTTGATATACATTATGCTACTCTAGTGTTTTCATGTTTATCAATCTTATCTATGATAGTTACGCTATATTTTTAAGTAGTTCAATGACTGAATTAATTATATTTCTGGAATCGCGACACATCACAAATGAACAAGGATTTCTTAGAACTTCAACGACCTGAAGGGAAAGTAAGCCGACGTTGTTATTCTCATCATTAATGATGAAACAGCAAGTCAAGGTCGCCCAGCTTTCAGCTTATTATCCAGCCGAATAGAATATCAATTTATAACAAGTGTTGCTTTGCCTGACATCTTATTAGGATTTATAGATAGGGAATTGGGCTTTTACGGTAACTACAAGAGTTCATCTTCACTATATCACTTTAACAAGTTTCAATTTACATAATAGAATGTCACCGCCAGAATCAATTGTAATAAAGCATCTGAATCTTGTTCTCTTATCTATTTTGTAACATTATTTGAATCTTTAAAAACAAGTTTTGAGCTTCAATACTCAAACTTAATTGTAATTAATTACGTTCATTAATTACGTGTACAGTTTTTGAGTAAATTTTGACCCTCCCCGTTGTGTACAATGTTGGACTTTTGGCAAAATGTATTCTCTTTAATTACGTCAGCAATGGTTTACGGACCCGACATAAGTAATAACTTAAATATGTTCTGCAAATATTTTCTGATAGTTTATTCACATAACTAGTAAGTAGGCGTACAGAAAAAATTCGTATGCCACTAATACCACTAAAAAAGCCCACGTAGACAACGACTTGACCTCTCCCTCCCCGTCGTATACAATGATCTGCTTTTCTCAACCCCTCCCTCCCTTAAACTGTAGACATAATTAATGGCGGCCCTTTATCTTGTTACCGAATAAAATTATGAATTAATCAATAAGTTAAATTAACAATATTTCACTTAAAAAACACTGCCAACATTATTTTAACGAATGCCAGAATTATGATGTGTAAATTTACAAAATTTTTTCTCACCATGTGGCATTCAGGACGCAAAAATGTTTTATTTTAACAACACTACATTAATATAAATATCATCTTAATTTGATGAAAATCCATCTTGAGTCTTCGTTGAAATTAAGTTTTCAACAAATTAAGCTGAATCAATATAATAAAACTTAAAAATCATTAACATTTGATTATGTTCATCCGTGAAGTCATTCTTATTGTTTCATTCAAGACTAGATTCGTTTGACATTAATCGCCTTATCGTTTATTACCCAGAAAACAAGAGAAATTTACATAGTCTGTTGATAAAACAGATTGAGTTTCAAGATTTAGTTTGATAAAATCTAGTACTTCATTTTTTATATACGTATAATCTATCTAAATTCAAATTTTGTTTTCAATTTACATTCTTTTTCTCCATCATTCTTTTCTTTTGTATAAAACAACAACCTCATATAAAAATCTAAGTTATACTTTATATTTGGAATTTGAACAGAAATTTATTCTAAAATTAAAACAAAATACTCTCGATAAGAAAATAGGAAAAGTAGGGGTAAAACAAAGTGATAATAGAATATATTTCATTATTATAATTGTTGAATATAACGGTGTTTAGTCATTTTAGCTCTACAACTCTACTACTGTCCAATCAGTTGTCTTGGTGTTACATTATCTTAAAGGAAGTCCATTTCCCTAATGTTGAAACGTCGATAAGTACATAGATTTGAAGGGGGAGAACAAAACTATCAATACCAAATATGCATTATTAAAGCTATCGAATGGCATAAATTTCATGCTTTAGCGATAATTTTTCACCGATATTTCAATTTATAAATGATTAAACCTGTATGCTATTAATTTTAACTACATCATTACTTAAATTAATAATGTATATTAAAATAATTTCTAATATTAAATTGCGTTATGAACTTTGCTTATACTATACGTAAGTTTGGATAAATTCGTTTCCTTTTTAATATTTTAAGGTTTTTAAGACTCGTTTCTATATTAAAACTTGTGATAAATTCGCATTTATTAATTAAAGTAATAATCGAAAAATATTTGCATATTATGACTTAAAATTTTACGTTGAAAATTATAGAGTTTTGTTGAAATCGATATCCAGGATTGAACTTAGATTAGTTGTGGCCCTAAGCTATAACACATTACGGGCCTTTCCCGCCACCAAATAATAATACATGTAAAATGCGAGGCCCTAAAAAGGCCCTTGCTTAGCTTTTGTGCAAAGCTAGCATTTATATCTGTTTATAAATAGGCCTATATATTTTACAAACCCATACGAAAAATAGCGTGAAAGAAATAATTATACAGAAAAATTAAATACATAAAAAAATATGAAAAATTTAAAACTTTTTCCATTTTATAACTAATACAAAGAAAGTAAATTTCGAATATATTTAAACAGTTGGAGTTTGTAAGTTTACTTGTTTTCATTTTATAAACCGGCAATTTCCTCCAATCAGAGACAACACATATCGTTTGCTTGACGCCCCTATGTCGGGAATCCTTCTGAACTCAGATTTTCCCATAGGGATACAAACTGCCACATTTACAATAAATCAAAACAAAACTGTATTTAATTACGAGAAATATTTAAAATGTTATTTCATTATTTATAAATATAATTATTATATTTTAATCTTCGTCGGTTCGTCTTTATTTGATGTTAATAAATTAACAATTAAAGCGACAACAGAAGAAAATTAATAAATTTAATAAGAGAAATACAATATTAATAATAGTTAACGTTTTTACGCCTTTTAAGCTTTATGTTAAACTTTAATTTTTAAACAAGTTGTATATTTATTAATTAAATACTNTAGGAGTATCAACGAGATTATTTGGCTTAGACCCTGTTACAGAAGTTCTCCCAAACAGCAAACAACAAAAAACAGGACTTTGAAGTTGTGTAAATTAAATTTACCTTTAATAAGTGAAAAAGAACCTGTTTTATTGATTTTATTCGTATATTTTTATGGCTGTCGGAGAGAGATGAGGCCTCGTCTCATCTCTTTCAGCCACCGCCTTTCAATGTATCAACGTATTATATTCTATTATACATAATATATAAAACAATATAAATTTAAACTCCTAATTTAACATTAAAATAGATTTTAATTGGAGAAAACTTTTCGTATAAGGTTTTATTTTTGTTAGAAAGGAAATAACTTATATTACGTAATTCGAATCTATAATAAGAAAAAACAAATTTATGTTAACCATTCCCATAATATCGATAAGAATTTTGAAGAAATGTAATATAAATTTACACACGCAATAATTCAATTCATAAAAATTACATTTATATATTTTTATTACATCAATAAAATAATCTTTATTTGTTAAAATGAGGTTTCCCAAAATGTATTTTAAAATATACCATACAATCTGAGCTTATTAGCCGTAACAATAAGAATAAATACATGCTGAGCTAAGCTTTGACTTGTTATGGCCTTAAGTTCCAACATATAACAGGCCCTTCCCCTGTACTAAATAATGATACATGTAGAAATATGAGACCCTAAGCTGCAGCTCTTATATACAAATCCAAGCCTGAATTTGTGGTAAAAGTTACTTTTAGGTTTAGGCAGGACAGCGAAGAACTTGTATGAGCGTACTCGGGAGTGGAGACCTTCTGCAACATTTTTTTGAACAAATGAAATACGTAGAATGTTTCTTATTAACAAAAATCAATCAAAAAGATTCTATTTTATTTTGTCCGTAAAAATAACATTAATTTCTAGGGGTAGGAACGACTACGCTCCCCTAAGCTTTCTCCGGGAAAAATCCCCAGCTCCCCCTCAAGATAGTCCTGAACTATTTAAATACAGTTTAATCCGATAAAAAATTATACATTTTACATTTTTTTTATATATATTTAACAAGCCAAATCGTGATTTAAACAAGCATTTTTTAAACACCATTATATAAAAATCCATCTAAAAGAATCAGATTTGTTTCTAAAAATTCCGTTACGCTTCTATACATAAATAATTGCTTTAAGAAGAAAAGAATTATTATCATCAAAGAGAAGAATTAAAATCAATATCAATAAAATGTAGTTAAACGTAACGAGAGATAATTTTATGTGTTACTGTTACGATGTCACAACCGATTCGATCAACTTTCCGTGCGACAAAAGTAATTATTTTATAACATTTCCACACTTTAAATCTGTTAAATATAAAGAATTTAGAATGAAATATATAACAATAGTGTTCTGTTACGTATTTAAACGTATCATCACAGTATGCAGGGTCAGATTTGCATATAAACTAAAGTTTAGGGCCTAGCATTTTTACACGTATCATATTCGACGACGGGAAGGGCCCGCTTAAGGCCACAATAAATCTAATTCCAACCTTGACAGTAAGTCATTGAATGGTAACAGATCGCGAGTCTCGTAAAGACATTATAAGTTGTATACGTAGCAGGAAAATTTGCGAAGGTATTTACGAAAAGTCATCAGAATAAGCGGTGAAATGTTTATAACTGATGACGTTTGTTCGGATGATGAGAGCATGAGAGAGAGAAGTGAGAAAGAGAAGAGAAGAGAGGACGACAGGTCAAACCTGTCATTCAAGTCGAAGGCAATGATCGTTTGGCAGATGTGGAGGGTAAACACTTTCACTTTCCCGTACGAAATATCGCGATCGATGTTAGAAATTCGACATTAACGGTTGTAAACTCACCTGTTGCCGCGGTAAACGGAAGAAGGAAGAGTAATAGAGCAAACATGTCAGGACGTGAATCAATGAAACATTGCAGACGATCCCTGGCCAGACGACAGACGCTGACTGGAGAGAGAAACCTCGCTCTCGGCAACGTTATTAGACCACGTGACACTTAATCTCGACCTACCAACCGAGTAAAGGAGAGGAGCGTAGGAAAAAGACTTTTTTCATATTCAGAGAGGGCAGCACTTTCGTTATGAGACAAATTTGATAAATTGGAAGGGTAGAAAGCCTTAAGGGATGATTAGAAGTCGTTGCTTAATTGCTTTCTGTCGCCATGCTTCTGATGTCGTTGGACTTGGAATTCTCTACTACTCATATATATAAGATTTTTTTCTCATTAATAGTCATAAATCATATTGCTTTCATAGATAAAGTTATTTAAATTAAATTCATACTTTGTGCAAGAGTTTGCTGTTTTTCTTTTTTATCATTAGTCGATTTAAAAAAGTAATGCATGTTTCACTTAAATTCTACTTTATTTCTTACATTTAATTGCATTTTATCACTATTAAACTGCAATTTAAAATATTATATATATATAATAATTTATCTCGAGGAGTATTTTAGAAGAATTTATATCAAAATAGATTTAGATTTTTATAGATTTTATTATAAATTACATTGTGTCTAGATGCTGGGATATTATTGATTTATTACACAAGTCTATAGCAGGAGTGACTAATTTATGGTACGTATGCCCAAAATGGCACGTAGAAAGAATTTTCTTGGCACGTAACGTACTATAATATTTTATTTATTTATTTTTATTATAAATGGCCACAAAAGATAATCGTTATTTGTAATAATTCATTGTTATAATGGGCTAATATTTTGACATTCTGGTAATAGTGTAGTAAAAATCACAAGTAGTAATATGGCGTATAGAAAAACTATTCGAATTTTATTTCTACATCTCAAATTCTAAAAAATTTTATTATTTCACTTCTTTATAAACTATTTTTCACTTCTTAAATACAGCTAATTGTTTTTATTTTATTTTATTTTATTTTTTTGTAATTTATATACATATTTTGGCTCTAATCCTTAAAGTTTGTCACCAACACTTTAAATAGAATAGGGTCATTTTAATGCCAATCAGCATGGCCTGGACCAAATATCCCTATTAGCTTTAAATGCTAGGACCAATTTAGTCCAGACCTCAGTCACAGAGGATTCACAAAATTTAATCTGTTATAATTATAACGGAGTGCCGGTATATAGGAGTATCAACGAGATTATTTGGCTTAGACCCTGTTACAGAAGTTCTCCCAAACAGCAAACAACAAAAAACAGGACTTTGAAGTTGTGTAAATTAAATTTACCTTTAATAAGTGAAAAAGAACCTGTTTTATTGATTTTATTCGTATATTTTTATGGCTGTCGGAGAGAGATGAGGCCTCGTCTCATCTCTTTCAGCCACCGCCTTTCAATGTATCAACGTATTATATTCTATTATACATAATATATAAAACAATATAATATATAGATATTAAGGAAAAATTAGTTGATATCTGTAAGTGTTTATAGATAATGTAAAATGTAAGTGTTTATAGATATTTTGAAATTAATAATCTATGTTATATATTTTTTCATATAAATGTTGTGTTAAACAGCCACGCCCTTTATCTTTTTTCATATTATAGAAAATAATCATATAACTATGTAATAAAAATATTGTCACACAAGTCTATCCGGTACCATTATATAACATGTAAGTTTTTTATGTTATTGTCATCCCACGTTTTTGTTACGTCCTATTTACCAATGTCGTGAAACTCACCTTGTTTTTTGTAATTTTAACAGCACTGAAGAGGGGTTGGGAATACAAGCCAACCCGAAATGCATCTGAATTAAAAAAGTGTTTTAAATAAACTGTAACGTTTTTCTAATTGCTGTTTGATCGTCTACCAAAATTATTGTTTGGATTGCAAAGACGCTACACACAGAATTTGAAGATACAGCAACCACGTCTTCTACATAGTTGATATCTGTATACAAGATTTCTATCTTCCTATAACAAAAATTAATAGCACTGACAGAGAATTCATTTAGGCCTACTTTACTTTTTAATTTCATATAATTAGCTTATTTTTCTAAATAAACTGATTGCTTTAAAATAGAAAATAGAAACAACTGATCACTATATCTAGATCCGGATTTACGTATAACTAAACAGCTTACCGCCTCACATTACGAGTGGCCTCGTTCTGTTCTCGAAAATAGTTTATATTAATACATAGTGTCCATTAGTATTTGGTGGAGGAGAAAAGGCCTCTTGCATGTTATAGTGCAGGGCCAAAATTTAAATCCAGCTCTGTTTATATTAACCATATCCTTCTGTTTCCAATAATAATTTATCTATCTTAACAATTAAGCTTTCAATGATAATTTTATTAATAAATAAATTTAAGAGAATTTTATTTTCCAATTTAGTTGTAAAATTTAAAGATAATTATTTTAACATGTACAAGTATAATTTACTTACAGTATTTATAATTATTTTAATATTTTTAAACAACTCTTTAAAATGTTCAAAAAATTTAAATACTTTTCTAAAATGTTTATTTTTTATGTTATTTTTTGTTTTTTAACTACAGTTTTTTTCTCTAAATGAATTTAATCAGAAGAGTTTCAATTAGTTCATAACGTTTTTATTTTAAAACGATTGTTTCAAATTTGAATACAGTCGAATCTAAACAGAGGCCATTTCTTATGTTCTGTCAGTGGCCGTTGTTCGTCGGTTTGATTGTATTACTGTAATTTTAAACCAAGAGCTTTTGGGCCAATCGTATTAAAATACTGTTGGCCCAAAAGTCAGTTAACCGAGATATATTTTTTTAGATTAAGAACGATTAAACCCGAATAGCTGTTTCAAATCTTTTTAAAGAAAATTTCAGATTTAAAAAAAGGCACAAAATTGTTATTTTAACAAGAAGAAAAATGACAGTCATTTTATTATTTTTTTTAAAATTTAACTTGCTTTGTATCATGTTCTTAAATCTTTCAACTCAAATTTCATCCACACCTAATTAAAATAAAAAGTATATCCAATAAAATATTGAATTTAAATACTTTGACGACATATCAAAATCTGATAAAAATGCATTTTAATGATGTTTTAGATATTTTAGGGGATGGCTCCACCCCACCATCCTACCCACTCCGAAGCCCGATAAAGATAACCAAATGTAGAATTTGGTCATTATACTAGTATATCTGTGTAAATGCACTGTAGTAATGTATATAGGATGAAAACATCCCTACCACCCCCAATCTCGAAAAGCACGACCAATAAAAGCATTTTTTTATTGGTCGTGTTTTTCGACATTTTTTAAAATATATTAAAAATTATTTCTCTATATTTATTTATTTTAAATCATTGAAAAAGTTGAATTGAATTTATTTTTTATGCATATTTATTAAGGAAGGAATTTCTTGCACCATTGTTTCACATACAGAAAAAACATCAATGTTCAATATCGATTGGACAACATCAAATCCAGCAATACATCCGATGTAAAACATCGATGTTTTTATAAGAAGAAACAAAATATATTTATTTAAAGATATTATTTTATAGAAGTATCATTAGTATAGTACAGAATTAAACGTAGGAAAATAGATGTCCGAGGAGGTTAAAACATCAGCTTACCTCTCTGGGAATTCGAGATCGAATCCGAGTGAGAAACCCTAGGAATTTTTTGTGGTTTAATCTATCCTGAATTTGTCGGGGCCTCATCCCTCACCACCATTGTGGGCCTGGCCGAACCAAGGTGTATGATTAATTAAAAAGACCCTCTTTGTACTCAGGGAGGAAAGTACGAAAAATGAATAGGACAAAAAGATATGAAAACAAATTTATTTATAATATTATAAACGTAAATTATTTACAATTATTAATATCATATAGTTATAAATTTTATAGGAATTTTTAAGTTATACATATATTAATGAGCATAATTTTGATTTTCTGTTTAAATCTTTTACTATATATATATGAGTTAAACATATAGTTATAATAGAATGTACTGGTAAGAGTTACGTTCTTTTCAAGTTGGTAATAAATACTTAAGTTAAAGAGCTAAAGCTAACATAAATAAATGCATAAATAGTAGCGTAATCATGGAGGAACGTTTTAAATAAATAAATGAAAAAAATGAAATAAGTACGGGAAAAAGAATTGTAGGATTGATGAGATAAGGCAACGCAACACTAGAGCGATCTGCCAAAAGGGAATGCTTTCCTATCGCACGAACCCATGACCAACTGCAAATTCAGTGGTTTGTGGGAAAATTATTTGAATGTAAAAACGCGATTATACATATATAAATTCAATATCTAAGAATTTATTCTTCATCCACAGCGCTTATGGCAACATTTACAATGATGCAGGTGTTTATGTCGGTTTGCACGTTCTAATTCGGTTTCCCCTAATATCAGTACTAGTTTCGTTACTATGTAAACAAAAACATTGTAAATCCGAATGAAGTAAACAAAATATTTAATATTCTTGTTCGTTTAGAGTGTTGTTTCATTATATATAAAAAGACCATCAAGAAAAAAAACGAAATAATCGTGCCTTTCATTATCTACTTGATTATTTTGTTTTCTTTTTCAACACTGAAAGTTGTGAAATGTTTTCTTGTTTAATCTTTTAAATCATTATCTCAGTTATTTCATAAAAAGAAAAAGAAAAAAAAGAACTACTCATATACTATTAAAAAGTTACGTCTTTAGGTAATTACGTTCACTTTATCAGTCAAATTAATTCATTTAATGATAACTAATATAGATCAAATGTAGCGATATAAGTAGAATATCGATACAAAGTTCACTTACATATTTGCATAATGTTGATATCTGTGAAATTCTAGGCCATATATTGTAATTTATATTGTCCAACCTCTGAACAACGGCAACTGACGATAGCATAAAAGTTGACCGTTGTTCGGAGGTTAGAGGGTTTTTGGTATGCATTTTCAGTAAAAAGTTCCTGAAAAAATAGTCTCTGTTTAGTGATGACTGAATTTGGGAGGTAGCCGTTATTGGAGGCTCGAATAAGCAAAATGTTTATTTATTTAATATTT